TAAGACTTCAATAGAAACTGTCACTCGAGAATCCTTCCACTGATCATCCGAATTTTATTATAGTCTCTCATTCAGTCTGTATGCGCTCTTAACATTATGTGAATCCATCACTGATAGTGGAAGGTTTCTCAACGATTGTCAGTACAATACAGAGACTGAAAATCTTTTTAGAAAAGCTTTTTATCTTTTTTTTAATATTCCAAGTTTATATAAATGTCTCTCAACTTTATATCGGATACGAGTCTTTAGGACATTGTGCGACATACATTAGATGTATAGAAGCTACTGCTACACTTCTATTTACAATGTTTTGTCAAAAGGTCTTTTAAGGATTACACACCCTTCAAGATACAACGTGTCCTCTATCCATTATGAGTCTCGCAAGATCCAAAGGAGGAGCCATTTTAGTGCCATGGCGTGTCCCATCTTTTGATTTGCGAGATTGACTCTTCATGGCTGACGCTTTTGTCAAGCACAAAATACACAATAATATGTCTATAGAGTGTGATGACAACGAAATGAATAAGGAAAAGGAGTTAGGGTTGTATAATTTGGATAATAGTCATACTTGGCTCAATATGAATGCTCCTGTGAGTCATGGAAATATGTCAAACTTCCCTCCAGGTAAAGACATTCCAGTATATTCTACTAGAGCTTAAAGGATATCTATTAGCTATGAGACAAATAAGAAATATCGCAGGGAAGCCAGCAATATTGGCTCTTTCCGCATTTTCATGTGGAGCTTGCTTTCTTGGAGTAGTCAATGTTGGTTTGATATCTGCTGATTTGCTTCCAACTGTAGCTCCACCAGCTTTCTTTTATAGCGGCTTTTGTATGATTATGGCAGGTGCATTGGCTTTTCTCAACAATGATAATTTTACTGGAGTGACATCTTCCTCATATGGTGCCTTTTATTTGTCATTTGGTGCCTATATGGTATTCAACTTTGAAAAATTCTTTGGAGCAGTACTGACTAGTGCTGAGTTACAACAAGGCATCGGTATCATGTTGTTCGGATTCATTATATTCAACACGTATTGTTATATTGCTTCCTTCATGTTGACTTTAGGACTCATGTTGCAATTCCTTTTCATCGAAATCTCACTAATTCTATCTATGGCAAGTATGTATGGTAAAATATCTCCCGTTCCAGGTGGTGTCTTTAGTATACTTTTGGCTGCAACGGGTTGGTACAATGCAGCTACCATACTGTTCGAAGACATGTTTGGAAGACATGTTCTATTCAACCCTCTTATGATTGAAGTCTTTGCATGGATCAGAAGAAGAAGGTAAACGAGTTGACCAGCTGGTTTTAGTTGGTGGATATTATGTTTTTCGGATGGATATGAATTCTGATAGATTATAATAAATGTTTTTCTATTTTGTTGTTTTGTTAAAAGCTGTCATGGATTGGGTTCATTTCATTCCTATGAATGGGATCACTTGTTGGAAGCTTTCACCTGACAAAGATATTCCTTGTCAGAATCTAACATACACTTATTTTGGATGATTCTATAACCTTGTCCCATTATTTGTATTGGAATGGGATTGTGAAAAATAGAGATGATACAGAATTTGTCACTGACTGCAGACCAAATAGAGATCTTGTACTTCCGCGGTATGTATAAAAGCCTCTCAGTTGTTTTTTCTCTCTCTCAAAAAGTCTTAAGAAGTCGCAAACTCTGACGAAATTTTGGATTGCATTCGCCAACGGAACTTTCCAGCAGCAGTTCTCGACGGCAATACGGTATGTTGGGATACGTAACGTATCTTGAGTGTCTAAATGCTGTCAAGTTCTTGAATATTTTTCAGTTTTTGGTTGCAGCACAAATAGCCACGCTTAATGGTAGGAATTCTCGCAAGGGTACCTCGCTGCTCTGAAGATGTTTTATAGCATTTCGTGGAAAATTAGTGACTCTTGACGTATTTTCAGAGATAGTCTTTTGCCTTTCAGCAGGAAAGAACGTCCGAGAAGCATTTTCAACGTTTGGCTTTCAGAGCTCTTCAAAGAGTGCTGTCGTTGTTTTGGTGAACCCTGATCCGAACACAAAGGAGTTTATTCTGAAAAAGTTTGTTTGTGCAGAAGTGAGCTCCCAAAGAAAGAATTCGATTCTTTAATTACGTCTTTGTTCCTAGGTTTTAGAAACCAACGAAGATATGGCAAAGTATTGTAACGAACAACATTTAATGCAGCTATATCAAGTAGGAATGACTAATGAAATTATTCGCTCCTGATAACATGTTCTGGTGTTTAGATAGAACTGCAAGAACTTAATGAAAGCACGCTGCTGGACGCAATCATTACAAGAATTGCAGCAAGGGTTGCTTTATAAGATATTAAATTTTCAACCGATAAATTATCGTTACTCTGAACAATCCTTAGATTGCGTGAATAATTGCCAGTCTGCTGCTGAAATTTCGTTTTATCTGTTAGAATAATATAATCTTAATAACATCTAGAATATAGCTTTATTAAAAAATTCTTTAAAAATTTAAATAAATTTTCCTTTCGAGTAGACATAGCTATTGCTTTCAATAATGACAAAAATATTTTATGTTTCGGTTTTTTTAAATTTTGATATTAAAATTTTAAAGTATTTTCAATTAAAAACATTTGCGATTGTTTCTTTGTCATGTTTCCGATAATAAATTATCATTGTTTTTTGGGAATTTCTTGAATGATTTTAGTGCTGTGAATTTATTTTGGAGACAACGCAAAAATTTTTAAAAAACATTCTTGACAAAGCATCACAAAAAAACATAGATATGACATTCATTGTTTTTATATATCTTTGTTCCTGTTTATCGGTATTCTTTTTGAAACAACTTCTGCAGCTAATCTACCCGACTTGACTGCACCTTCCATGCTGTCTATATAATCCTGCGAAGTGTAACTTCCAGCTAAAAATAATCTAGAAATTGGAGTCTCTTGTTTCGGCCTCCAAACATCGCAATTAGGTGCTTCCTTGTATAAGGAATGTCCTAGCTTGACTACTGAAGACCAAACACATTTTAAGTTTCTAACTAGAAGGGAACAAATCCATGACCTGTTTCTTGACTGTATCTACAATATACTCATTGTTGCAGCGCATATATTTATCGCCGGGTGTGATAACCAATTGTAACAATGATCCTTCTCCTGGTTTGTAATACGTTTCTGGCGAGGTTAGAGCAAGATCTGCAAAGCAAGAAAAATCAGCATCTGCAGAATACAACAGATTATCGATTCCTCTAAAAGCTACTTTGTTACGATCCAATTCGGTAACCCATCCATCGAATCGAAGTTGAACTGTAATGACTGGAACCGTTTCTAAACGAAAGATCCCGTCCAATTCAGGAAACTTTCTCAATTCTTGAGGCAACAATCTTTGAATTCCCCTAACATCACAAGCTACTACCACTCCATCTGCATGAATGATCTTTCCAGGGGCATTTCCTCTTGCTTCCTCTGCAATTTCCATTCCAATCACTTGCAACTTGTCTTGTACAGTCTGATAGATTAGACGTCTCACTTTTTTTCTCAAGAAAATTTCTGCATTTCTTTGTTGCAAATAAGCAGCCATGGGATGTGTCTATCATGTATATTATTCAGTCCTCCATCGTTATCTC